TTGCTCCATATTCACAATCGCTGTGTATTCACAATTGTGACGCTATTGCCACAATCGTAACTCTCCCTCCCAGCCTACTTTATCATCATCAGCTGCATGGAGCAAAGGAGGGCCATTCTGGCAATGACTGGGGCACAACTGAATGATATTTCCATCAGGTTGTGCGTGTGTGTGTGTGTGTGTGTGGAGAGGGCAGGCCAAGGTAGCTTTCTTAGTTAAGTATACTTAACTAGGATAGAGAATACAGTGGGCCTTCGGTATCCACTGGGGTTTGGTTCCAAGACCCCCGTGGATAACAAAATCCATGGATGGTCAAGTCCCATTCATTACAATAGCAAATTGAAATGGCATCCCTTGTATAAAATAGCAAAATCAAGTTTTACTTTTTAGAATTTAGATTTCTTTTGAACATTTTCAACCCATGGATGGTTGAATCTGTAGATAAAGAATCTGTAGATATGGAGGGCCGACTGTACAGAGTCAGACTCATACTTGGGCTGTAACGACAATGTAGAATGAATGCAATTTGACACCGTTTTGACTACTGTGGCTCAATGGTATGGAATTCTAGGATTTGTAATTTAGTGGGATATTAAGCCTTCTCTGTCAGAGAGCTCTGGTGCCTAAATAAATAAATAAATAAATAAATAAATAAATTTTATTTATAACCCGCCCCTCTGCTCGGCAATTGGGGCGGCTTACAACAAGTTAAAAAATACAACAATTAAAACATTCCAACTTCCCACGCCCTCTACAAATCCTAGTATTCCGTAGAAATAGAGCCATGATAGTTAAAGCAGTGTCAAAATGCATGCATTCTGCAGTTGTGGCAGCAGCCTTGAAAAGACTAAACCACGGCCATTGTTTTGCAGGAGCTAAATACTTCATGTAGTTTTGTTGGTTAGACTCACCCTCATAAATTAACATAGCTGTGTAGGTTAGTAATAAGGATCCAGAATTTCCAGAACAAAGTTGTAATCTCTTTCCTAACTCCAGATTTAATCACTGTTCCATGAGTTTCTCCACCTCTGCTACCTTCCAAGCACAAACTTTAGAAAATGTAGTTTGTTGTGGCTCCACTTCCCAGGTACATTATACTTCATACATATTAACTCAGTTGTCTTTTGAGACAACTCCTTGCACATAGGTGCAGAGTGTTATGAAAAACACTGTTTTGTGAGATATTTAGCTCCGCTCTCCCCAATGCAATCAAACATTTGAGATACTGTCTGGATTTAAAATAGCATTAAAGACTTTGTTCTTCCGACATTTTAAACTATGGAACTACAGTTCCCAGAATTCCATAGCATTGAGCCACAGCACTTCAAGTTGTATCAAACCAGATGATTTCTGCAGTGCGGATGCAGTCAAAGTGAACTCAGGCAGTGAGAGCTCCGTGTCTCTTGCTCCTATGTGTAAGGAGTTGTCTCAGAGGACAACTGAGTCAATATGTCTTAAGTATAATGTATCTGGGAAGCCTCCTAGGGATAATCTCTTGGGACAATTGAGTAAGATCAGGGTGTTCCTCCAGAAACAGAGAGGGATCCAATTCTGGAGGAGGTGGATACTGTAAACACATTCCATAAGCAATGATTTGTCAGTGTGTGGATGATGGGTGTTGCAGTGATGTTCTTAGACACCCAGCAGAGTCTGCAGGACACAGCCACTTTATATCTCTTACCATCAACTAGCTCAGCTTCTCTTCTCCAGGCAAGCCTGTCTTACTCAGTCAAGAAGACATATTGTAAAGTCCAAAAGTATAGTTTTATTAATGCATATAAAAGAAAAATAAGATCACTAAGTAAAATCCATTATGATGAACTTATCCAGTTCAGCCATGAGAGATTACATCTTTAGCAGATCCAAAAGCATCGGATCCCAACTTGTTCTAGTTGAACGTTAAGTAGAAGTTACAGATCCATGTTTCCAGATCCAGGAGTTACATTGTAAAAGCAGTAGAAACATGCAGCTGTTACACAGAGCTGTGACAGTGTGACTCAACAGGTGGTAAAAACCTAAGGACAACATAGATTCTAAATTCTGGGACAACCAGGTACATGATAAATAATGCAGATTTGCTGAAAAGTAAGAAGTCCTACAATATCAAAGATGTTGATCTAGCTGATGAAGGGGCAAGAGATGTCAAAGAAATTGGGAATGTCTACATACCAAGTTTTGGTAAAACCTTTGAAAATGTTTTATGTGTACCTGATTTACAAAACTGTTTAGTTAGCGAGTCAGGCATGCACTGAGTTTTATGGGGGATAAATGTGAAATCACCCTGGATGGGGAGGTGCAAACCTGATTTTTGGAAGCATTTAATGCTGAGATTGAACCAGTGGCTCATATGCTAAGGTCCAGGTTGCCTCTCCCCAAAGCAATCAAACATTTGAGATACTATCTGAATTTAAAATAGTATTAAAGACTTAGCTCTTTTGGCCTTTTAAACTATGAATTTTAAATTGGGACATTTTAATTTTAATGTGTCTTATGTTTATCTGTTTCGACTTAATGCATTTAAATGGTTTTATGTGTTTCAATCTATGTTGTGCCCCACCTCGAGCCTTGGAGAGAGGCGGTTAAGAAATAAATAATCTTATTATTATTATTATTATTATTATTATTATTATTATTATTAATGTTTGCATGCTTTAATACCTGTCTAAACATGTCTGAAAAGAATATGCACAAATAGGGGTGTAGTCCACTTGGGTTGCCAAATCTCAGGTCCTGACCCTGAGCTTCCAGTTTTCGTTGCTCATCTCCAGGCAGGAGACGAGGGTGCAATTGCACCAGTTTTGGGAGACTCAGCTCGAAGCAAGAGGAACAGGGTGCAAATCTTTAGCTCAGCTAGTCGAGCATCAGCTTGTCATCTGTTAATTTGAGCATCTCCAGATGGCTCTAACCCAACCGCCTATGCTACCATTCAAACTGATGGGACTTGATGTCCTGCAGTTTTTGGCATCTGCAGGGGGTCCAGAACAGAACCCCAGTTGATACGAAGGGTCAAGTGTATGATACATATCTACAGAGGCCAAATGTACTGGTTTCTACCTGCCCTGATGGCATCTTGTCCACACAATGCAAACCCCAATTCGAGTGCTGACTGTCTTCACAATGAGAAGCCAGTTCTGTACCGAATCCAACCCATCCCTCCTTTAAACTGGATTTAAAAGACTTAGCTTTTGGTCCTGATTTTCCAGAAAAATCCAGAGCACTCTGGAGTGATCCTGGGTCACTGTCTACACACGTGTCTCACTGTGCCACCTGGATTCACTGGTACTGGCCTGAGTCACTCCCTCTGTCACAACAAGGTGCCTAGCCATGGGACTGATGCTGGGCACTTCCTTTTCGACTTCAGAGGGAGCAACGTATGCCAGTGGTGGGGATGCCAGGCAGCACAGTGGGACGTGTGTGTAGACAGCTACCTAGTGTCACTCTGGAGTGCGGACATAAGGAGTAGGGATTGGGGCAACATTGGGGCCAGAATCCTCCAGGAGCAGCCCCAAGTAGCATTGGTTCAGGGAAACCAACATTGATAGCTTTGCTACATCTTCCAAAATGCTATAACTGCAGAATCACAGAGTTGGGAGACACCCTGAAGGTGATTCACTTGCTATTTGCTATCAAGTTGTCTTCCACATATGACAATCCTATGAATAAGAGACCTCCAGGATCATCATCTACCCTGGCCAGCTCTTGCAATCTTGCGGCAGCCGCGATGGAGTCAATCCACCCAGTTCCTCTTCTCCTGCTACTTTGCACTTTCCCTAGTGTTATCATATTTCCCAATTTCTCAGCGTTATCATATTTCCCAAAGTATGACAATCTCAGTTTAGTCATTCGGCTTCTAGTGAGAGTCCAGGTTTGATGCATTCTTGGAGCACTGTCAAACAGCTCTTACAAGTAAGATGTTCTTGCTAATGTTCTTCCAGAATCACATATGCCACCCTGAATCTCTTGTATGAAAGACAGAAGTAAAAATGCAAGAAAGGGAATGGGGGTGTAGGGGATGAAATTAATGAGATGGCAGATTTATTATTATTATTACATAGGCCTGTAGTAGGAAAAAAACCTTTTTCAATATTCGAGTTGTTTTTAATGCATGTGCGAGGGCCAACTGTGATGGATAGATTGAGTCCAACATCTCATTACAGTTTTTATTCCAGTCCTGTAAAATAGCATATCAAGGTTGATGACTCTGTGGTCGAGCATGTATGTTTGTAGAGCATAACAGACAGACAGATTAATACTTTAAATTGCCTTATAGATGCATAATTTAAAAGACCACAAGCTTCCAGTGACCACATTCCTACAGAACTCTGACGAAACACTCATACACCTGGTATTCTCATTGCTTGAAGAATTGGGGTGTGAGCTTAAAAATTATGTTTGTTGTCAACATCACCACCACTATGGGCCTCTTCTCCATGACTAGATCTAATGCAAAGTTTGGAAACGCTACTTTTTGGACTTTCACTCCCAGACCCCTGTAGCTAACAATCACATGCAGAAAAGGTGACAACCCCATGGTGAAGAGGACAGCACAATGGTGCCAATTCGGCTGCAACCTGGGGCAAGGTGTGGATAGGAAGATGGTGCCAGATTGCATTTGCACTGGTATGTGTGGTGCTAACTGGTTGGATCCAGGGCAACTGCGGGGCAAAATAATCTGATTTGCATCCAGATTATTTGTACTAGTGTAGTCAAACCCTAAGAAGGCCCTGTCTCCAGAGTCCTCACCAAACATCCTTGTAATGGTGGTGGGACCAAAAGGAAGGGGAAGAGAAATAGGATTCTGACCACCATCTTGGACTTTTGTTATTGTGTGCCTTCAAGTCGGTTCTGACTTACACTGACCCTAAGGCTAACCATTCCTGGTGTTTTCTTGACATGATTTGTTGCCAATTCTTGGCAAATTTCTTCAGAGGGGTTTTGCCATTGCATCCCTCTGAGGCTAAGAGAGTGTGACTTGCCCAAGTTCACCCAGTGGGTTTCCATGGCTGAGCAGGGATTCAAATCCTGGTCTCCGGAATCATAGTCCAACATTCAAACCACTATACCACACTGGTGTGAACTGCAACTTCCAAAATCCTCAGTGCCAGCCAACCAGATTCCAAATGTGGGCTTATATTCTTTTAGTCTTGACTAGAGTGGACCTATTGAATCCATTCGGTATATCTACATGGTGACTCGCCATTGAACAATTGACTGGATGAGTTTGCTCTAGTTGGGAGTAACCAACAAGAAGCCAGCCATAGCCTCCTTGCAATGGTTTCCCAAAAGATACTTACAGTGCTTTTAAAAAAATCCTTTTTGTATATTATATTTCTAGCACTCTTGATGTGACATCACACCATGCGCAACCAGATAATTTGCCCACTTGGCATCCTTCCACCTCTCCTAGTATCACCCACTCCTTGCTGATGTAAGAACACAAAGCGACTAACTGTAAGAGGAGACCTTCCCAGGTGAGGCCGTTTCGTCACTAGAAACCTTCAGGAACGTGTCCCATGCTGCTAATGTTGCAGAAACTTTGAAGCAACCCAAGATGGAGCAACCAAATTACTCAGGCTCTAAATCAAATTTCAGGATGTTGATGATAGCTCTTTTTGGGACTACAAGTAGAATTTTGACCACAGCTCCCCCAAGTTACGTTTTGGGACTACAACACCTAGTATCCCCAGCCAGGAGAGCTGGCACTAGGTTCAGTAGTCCCAAAAAACAACTTTTTAACCCTCAAATCTCATAAGCAGCCTCTGGTGACACAAGAGGATCTAAGAGATTTGAATCTTAGCTACAAGTGCACTTCTCCAAACACACCACAGCTGTGCTGGCTGGGGATGCTAGGTATTGTAGTCCCCAAAAGCAACTTTTCTACCCTATGATTCTTAGAATCATAGAATCACTTTATCACGCGGGAGGCAAGACTCCTCGTCCAGTCATTAAATTGCCATTAAATCCTATCAATATCGTGCAATAATGGAATGATTTTCACACAACATTACACAACGTTGCCATTATTGGGCCATTATTCTGTGAATAAAGCATTAAAATTGTGTTGCTTTTTCCCCCCAGGAAAATCCTATGAACAAAAAGAGGCACAATTTTGCCGCTTTATTCACAGGATAATGATGTGATAATGGTGACGTCATGTGAAAATCATCCTATTATTGCGTGATATTGATTAAATGGTGATTTAATGACAGGAGGAGAACGCTTGCCTCCCATGTAATAAAGTCCATAGAGTTGGAAGAGACCACAAGGGCCATCTAGTCCAACCCATAACCAACAGGATCTAAGAGATTTGAATCTCAGCTATAAATGCACTTTCCTAAGCTTGACAAATCACAGACCCTGTTGTGATTCACCAATTCCACCGACTCCAACCTGGCTGGCTCCACTATAAAAGAAATGCTCCAAGCACCCATAAAATAACCAGCTCTCTCTGCCAAGGGCAGTCTATGGGATTCATTGGAAGGGTGAGGAAACCTTATTTAATTTCTAAAATTAGAGGTTCCAAGGTTTGGGTAAAACTATGAAATCCTCCTTCCCAGCCCTAGAGGGAAAAGAGCTCATTCAGCTCAGCTCCTGGGTAATCTCTCTCCAGCTGGGCTGGACCAGTGGATCGACTGGTTTTGTAAAGTGGATCGAAATGCCTTTAGTATGTAGAATGATACTCAACTATATCTCCAGAGTCCATCTGTCTTCTTCCCAAAAGAGTATGGAACTCTTGAACCCGTGTCTTGGAGATGGATACAAAAGCACAGGTGTAATTGTATTGGGCATAAGCCCAGTTCCAAAGGTCAGACTGGGTAAGGTCTTCATTGTTTTTGTTCTATGCTTTCTTCACATCAACTGTAATTTATGGCCACCCTAGGGTTTTCTTGACAAGATGTATTCCAAGGAGGTTTGTCATCCCCTGCCTCTGAAGCTGAGAGAGTGTGTGAAATGCCCAAAGTCACCCAGGGTTTGAACATTGGTCTCCTACGGTGCTAGTCCAGCACTCAAGCCACTGTTGATTCTCATAAAATAAAACTTATTAAACTTATTATTAGCAAACTTTATTCAGAGGAGGTTTGCTGTTGCCTGTCTCTGAAGCTGAGAGAGTGTGGAAATTGTCCAAGGTCACCCAGGAGGTTTCCATGGCTGAGTGGGGATCTGATCTCTCAGAGTCCTAGCCCAGCATTCAAATTGGTACACCATGATGGTTCTCTGTAATGTCTTTATTCGTCCAGCCTCTAAGGGTCCATATCAGGGGCTGGCAACCTTTTTTGCCGAGGGGCCGGGAGGGGGGGAAATGGCGCGAGGGGACGGCCGGGCACGCGCACGCTTGTGCACACTTGCCCCCGCATGCATGATGCGGGTGCCATTTTGGAAGGCCCCCCGCGCCTGCGGCAGGTGAATTCGCCCACCGCCGGTGTGGGGGGGCTTCCCTGGGCCCTGGAAAGGCCCCCCTGCGCCAGCGGTGGGCAAATACACCCGGCATAGCCGCTGGGGGGGGTTCCCTGGGCCTTGGAAAGGCCTCTCCACGCCTGCGGCAGGCGAATTCGGCCAACGCAGCTGCGAGGTGGCCTTCCGAAGGCCCAATGGTGGCTGCGCAGCCGCCGTGAGGCCTTCCAAAATGGCGGCTGCCATTGTGCGCATGTGCATGTGAGCACGGGGCGGTGGCGCACGCAGGCGGCAAGACCGGCCATGGGACCGGCCAGTCCCAAGGCCTCCGTGGGCAGCACCTGGCCCGCGGGCTGTAGGTTGCCAACCCCTAGTCTATATACACAGTGCCAAATAAAACGGTATTGCCTAGTTTTCACAGCCAGCTGTCCAAATAAGTGATGAGACAATTAGGGCCAAATCCAAATCTTTTCATCACCCTAGGACTTTAATCCAGTGGGGGAAAGTGGGGATTTCTCCCAGTCTTGAGATGAAAATCTGGATATGTGTGTGTGTGCTTGTGTGTTCCATGCTCAATAGCGACATTGGTGTGAGATTGAAGAGGAATTCAGAAATACGTACATTTGCACACATGTGCGGGGGGCAGAGGGAAAAAACTGAAGTGTCCACAGTTGTGTGACCTCATACAATGATTTATTGGACCAGGGTGTGTGCAAAAGGGTGAAATGTGTGCACAGTTATCTGAAACACTCCTCGGTGTGTGTAGACAAGCCCATGGTCACTGGGGATTGGAGTAACCTGAACGTAAGATGGATTTTCTTGTTAGCTGTCAAAACTGCCAGTTCTCTTTTACATCCTCCTGCCAGCCTCCCACCAAGTAGTCCAAAAAACACAAGACCCAATCCCTAAGTCTGGTGCGAACTGTCTGGACAAAGTATGGCCAATTCAGTACCAAAACAGTAGTAGAAGCAAAAAAGTCTAGGGGAAAAAAATTAGTGTGTTCACAGAATGAAACAGACAGGTTTGATTTGACATGAGCTTTCGTGGGCTCCAGTGCATTTCATTAAACACTCACGCCAAATCAAATGTATTTTTGTCTTTACATTGCCCCAAGACCTTTCTTGCTTTTCTGCAACATACAAATACAAATGTGCCTTTAGAAAAAGGAAGGTCTTATGAATCACAATGCACCACGATCCAGAAAGAGTGTTGACTTTGGACGGAGAACAATGAGGTGCCTTGAAGCCAGTCTAAAAATGAACTGCACAATGCTGATGATAAATTCTTATCATGCCTGCACAAGCCCTGTTGCAAGAAAGTGCATGATTCTTTTCCTTCTCTTTCACTTCAGAGATTACTCTAGTTCAGTGGTTCCCAAACTTCGATTGCGCAGAGGTTTTGGACTTCATCTCCTAGAAGCCCCAGCCAACTTGGACACACTCAGGAATTCAGGGAGCTGAAGTCCAAAACATCTGGAAGACCAAAGCTTAGGAACCAGCGCTCTAGTTCCTGCTCCAAATACTATTGGGGCTCATCTATACTTTCCCAGAATATTCTGGCCCCCAAATTCCCCCGTTACCTTGCTGTCTTCCCCCAGTGATGGCGGGTGTCTGCCTTCCCATGCGATCCCCATTCATTGCCTGTCACTTCTACTATCAATGCTATCAATGCTGGGTGTCTCGTTCTGACCTCAGAATGACTCGCACTCGGAGCATGGCACCAGGCGACAAACAGGGACCCCAAGTGAAAAGGCAGCTTTCTGTCATCACTGAAAACTTGCTGAAAACCCACAGCAAAAGATGAGTTTTTAAAATGTGGGTTAGGGGGAGGAAGCCCCGATTCAGGTGAGGGCATTGTGAAGAAAATCCAAACCCGATTCGGGGTTTTGGCCCTGCATCGTGTAACCCGAATACAGTGATCCTGGGGGGAACTCGGGGTAAAACACGCATGTAAACAAGCCTTGGAAAGAAACCCAATGCTTCCTGTAAGTTATACGATGATTAAAGACACACTCGGAGAATGACACCATGTGAGTCTGGATTATAGCACACCCTCCAACATTTCACAGATGAAAATCTGGACATGTGTCATGTAACAACCTCCGAATGTGATCAAGATGGTAAACATTATTTACGAGGAATTAACTAGGGGTGGAAAATATTCAGAGAATGGTGGGAAAACGTGTTTTTCAAGTGTTGAGAAACCCTGATGAGAAGAATCCTGGACTGACATGAAGCTTCCCAGTTTGGGGCTTATTCTGCGCAAAATTCACACATGGTTGTTTTTGCACAGAAAACAGCATTTTCCACACAGGAAAAGTCATGTTCTGCATGGAAAATAATATTTCAATGCAAAAATGTTAATTCCTGTGCAGAAAGGGCTATGATTGCATATTTTTCTGTGCACAATTCACACATGATTGGTTTTGCATAGAAAACAACATTTTCTTTGCAGGAATTAGTATTTCTGTGTTGGAGTATTATTTTTCATTCAGAAAATGCTGTTTGGTGCACAAAACAACCATGTATGAGTTTTGAACAGAATAAGTCCTGAACTGCAAATAGCCTTTAACAACCACACATTTTTTTAAAGACTGTCTTGCAGTAGGAAGAAAATTGCTGAAGTTAGTCATCACTACCTTCAAAAAGAAAGCTAGTAAATAACTACATCTTTAGGAAGA